CCGCCAACATCAATAGAACCATCTCGTCGGCGCCTTCTTGGTCTTCGTCGCTCCGCTTTTTTTTCACGCATCATAGTGTCAAAGTCCCAAACTCGTCTACAGAATGAATGATCTTTTGATACTGTCATTCAGTAGTGGTTATTGGACGACAGCTGATATTTCTTCATTAAAATTTCATTCTATATCATGGTTAATGTATACTAAAAATCACAACAAATATAAAATTGTCTTATAATTCAATTATATTTATTTGGATGTGTATTGCTAACAAAATGCTTTATTTTTTGAAAAAGTTTTACCCATCATCCTCGTCATTTTCATCATGAACATATCGAGGTTCTTCATCATCTCCTTCTTGACTATTTCCTTCAGCCTGACATTAAAAGAAAGATATTAAAAAGCAATAAAAAGTGATAGAAGTATTACTTCCTCTCTCGTTTTCTCAATCTTTGTCGAGATTAAATGTATATCGAAAAGATTTGATACCAAGCTGAAGAAAACATTAGAATTATATTATTAAACAATCAGCTTTTTCTCGGTATTTTTAGTTCAAACGTTTCTAGAAGGAAAATAAGACTGATTAGATCTCATATGGAAATGTCATATGCTCCAAAAGTTAAAAACCACAAAACTACGCACCGGATACTTTGTTTGAACTGCATCTTCACTTTCCTTTTCATCATCGCTGTCCTCCCCAAATATATTGGTCATCAATTCGCCGACACCGACTTCAGCATGCTCCCCATCTCCTTCCGATTCTGAACCATCTCTGGAATAGATATGGATGCAAATGAATCAGAAATGAAATGAAATTAGGGACACAACTTCGACATTCTACTTCAAAAATACCCATTTCATCAATGCCAATAGAGAAATATCAAATGCTCAAATGTCAAACACTTGCATTTCTCTTTACGTATTGCATAGTGAGAATTTTTATCACTAATAAATATTCTTATTACAAGAAATTGATAATAGTGCAGCCACCTCGACTTTGCTCCCGCTGGTGCGGTGTCTATATTATCTTCTTCATCGCTGGATAACATAATGCGTCGTGATTTCGATGGACCAGCCTGTTTGCCTGCAACCTTTTTCACTTTAACAACATTCTTTCACTCATAAAATGATTAGGGTATGCTTAAGAATACAGAAACAAGCATTCTACCTAGAAATTAAAACCATGTACTTATTTTACGCAATGTACTTATCTGCTTATAAGCAAGAAAAACTATCTGTTTTATCACCAACCTTCATCTCCATCCGAATCATTATCATTTGTTTCGTGATTTGTATCTGTTTTTTCCATCTCATCATCCTCATGTACTGAATTTGTTCTTTCCGTTTCATCATTCTCATTTGCAGGATTTGTATAATCATCGTCAATCTTCTCTTTCGTTTCGGAACATTGCTCCAAATCCCTATCGTGGTCAACAGCATCTTCCTCTTTCATTTCTCTCTCGGTTCTGAATTAGAGCTATTATATTCATAAATATGGAAATACAAAGTTACCGTTCAATTATCCTTCATTAATTTTTTTCGCCTGAGCAACTTCCACAATTTCTAACCATCCGTACATCAAGCCTTTAAATGATCAAACTTCAAACATGAATAAGTGCATAACTGACTGCACCTTCGTATATATCGCACATGGAAAAACTCAGAAATGTCACTCTCTCATAAAAAGTAGCAATCAAAAGTTAATCCTTCACTAAAAAAACAAACTCGTGTGATGAAAACTGCGAATGAGATGAACTATCCTTTTCACCATCACTTTCAACGACACCTTTTGAATCATCAACGTCATCTGTTGTCTGAGCAATCGGCTGAATAAAACAGATATGTTTTCTACTATACAGAAGTTCTCCTTATAATTCTGAACTCTATCCGATCGAGTTATTTGGCAATCCAATTTCTTCTAATCTCACTCAAGCTTCTCTAGATTTTTTGCCTACGACTTAATAATGAATATTAATAAAATAAATTTAAAACCTACGTAATCTAAATGAATTGGACTTAAAGCAATACTGCCCTCATTTTCCTGATTAATCTCGAAACTTCCAGATCCATGATTGCCAATTTCACCTTCCAATTCTGTCATCTGAAATATACTTAAGAACTTATTCATAAATCACTATTTTCTATTACTATCCAAAATGAATATTCCTATTCACATGTAGCCTGAAATCGTAATTAACTCTTCTTATATACGAAAATACTAAAAACAGTTAATAGAAATTCAATCCCACCAGTAGAGAATTTTTACATTTAATTAATTTGAATATACAATTAAACCATATATCTAATCACTTGAAAAGGTCATAAATTCCAAAAAAAATAAAAGCATTTAAAAATGAATAGTATCGTTAATATACGAACAGTTAAGCACTCAGAAATTTTTTAAAGCTTGAAACATCCGGGATTCCTCAGGAATACGTTCCGGGATATCAGTCACCGCCATCCGTCAATGCTGCTGCATTCTGTGAGAATTTCCAGTGGCCTATTTTACTGATACAACCACCGGCATCGATATGAAATTCCAGAATTCCAGTTTGAGTTTCATTTCGGCATCAATCAATTCCTTATTACTCTAATTTGAATTTAAAAAAAAGAAATTTTAAATGGAATTGGAACTAAATTACAGAACAACCTGATCAAAATATTATAATGTATTTCGGGTGAAATATTTATATTATCATTCCGACACTATCATATGATTTGCCAATTATGGTTTTATTACTATGATCTTTCAGAATCTTATCGTGCACTTTGATAGTGTTAAAGGAGCAGAAAACGAAATGTTTTTTTTTTTTGAATTTTAATGAGTCAAGAATATACGATAGAAAAAGTTGCACGAATGAAATTACAACGCTCTAAAGTGTTAATATTAAAATGAATGATTGGATTACTAATATCAACAATTTTTGTTTATCATTATGACTCTTGATTGTGATTTTTGATAATTATTACAATGCATTTCTATTCAGAAATCATTATTATTTTTTTCTCTTAACAACAAATACTATTAGATTGATAAATATCATCAATAATGTCCGTTATCATTTTAAAGGCTAAAATTTTTTGCTAAACTTATTTAAAATAAAATATTTTCCAATATTTTCAATTTACAATTTTTTCAAATATTGATACAAAATACGGGAAAAGAAAAAATTAGTTTAAATTTAAATAAATTTGCTATAACTATGCATTTAAAAAAAACATGTTCATCTCATTTTATATTTTAATTTTAAACAAAAAAAAGTGAAATGTTGTAGATGACAAACATTGCAATGATATTGATTTGTTTTCATAATTGTCAGTTGAAAGGTTTTTGAATTGATGAAAAATTGCTGTAAAATGATAAATATGCAATCAATGTATATCATTTATTGTTCAAAGTATATTTTACTATACTTTTATTACAAACTGATAAGAAATAAAAGTTGCAGTAAAATTTAATGAGCAGAAAAAGCGTAGCATGAAACGTTAAATTTAACAATCTGGCAGTATATGGTAGCATGTGTGATAAATGTGAACGAATTATCAGTGCAGATCACATTGAAATCACGTTTTAATTGCTGCTCCGCAAATTTCTGAATCAATCGTTTTGAATCTGTCAAATTGGTTGATAAATTCTGAAAGAAAGAAAGAAAACCGCAAAGTATTGGAATATTTCATTTGAAATTTTCATTTTCTTCAATTTTGTCAATTACATTTCTCGAGAAAAATTAATGAAGACATTAGGAGACGAGCAAAAGAAAAAAAAGATTCTTTAAAAAAAAAAAAAAGCTAGGAAATTAAACAAATTTTTGAGAAGGAAAACAGAAAAAAAAAATAAAGCTACCTTTTTAAAATAATATTACTGCGAGAATTTTTATAAACCATATTATCATGATCTTTCATATCAGTCTTAAATTAAAGTTTAAATAAAGCGATACCTGATCCATAATATTCATCAGATCTTCACTGTTACAAATATTGTTTACAATGAAATTTATTTCTTCTCGTTTGTTCCTTCTATGTCTTCGTTTTGATTTTGCTGCAAATCTTATATTACCGGAAGAATATGATGCAACATCTCCTGATCGTTGACCATATTTTGCGCACATTTCTCCATCACTTTTCTATAATAATAAATTACCAGCAATGATAAAAATATTAGCTGATACAGTAATTTCAACCATATTAAATGATAACAATTATGATAATAATAGTAATTTCAATAAATACATTCTGTGAAAATGATAAGACAAATAATATAGTATTAGGATCATATTTGTTATTAAAAATTTGGAGGAATAAATTTGGAAAAATAATTTCATTAATTTAATTATGCATAATTTAAATAAGTTTTGAGTTTCCGAATAAAAAAAAAGTTCTTTCCGATTTATTGATATATCAATTATACTAGCATTACTGTATTGATTGGATCGATTGTTCCATCATTGGAAGATATTTGAATATTGCTATTAATTAATTATTACATTACTAATGCTCATTTGCTATTTAAAGTCATGATAAGCTTCCAGGACATTAGTATAATATACCTGTTAGGTTATATCATTAATAGTTTATATTTGTTGCCTGTGCCAGTATAAAAGAGATCTGTGAGATTTACTTTAAAAGTCTTCAATTTCTATGCGATCTTTTGATTGAGTTTTGTGCAAAACAAACGAAGGAAAAAATTTCAAAGACGTTAAAGTAATGAAGTAAAAATAAAATGAAATAGGCAGATAAGTTTAAGCAAAAAATCTGTTAAATAATGATCACCCAATGATTCCAAAGGTCAAATTTACGAATCAAACAGTGAACTTCCAAAATTTGTCCTTATTTAATAAACCGCAAACGATGCTACCTATCAATAAAAACCTGAAGTCAGTACGTGCAGATACGTACGTGTAAATGCATGCTATATATTAAATAAGTGTAAGTGAATGTAGATGTACTAAAAAGTCTTGAAGAAAAAACAAATTATGTAATACTTATAAGAGATTATGTCAATATGATGATAATTTTGATTTATCGAATAGGTTCTTATGTTTGCTTTGTAATTTGAGCATAATGATGAATTTTGAGAATTTCGAAATGATGTTAAGGTGAAATTTAAATTTGAATTGATAGAAAGAAAAAATTACCTTTATTTGTTTTATCCTACATTACAGTTAAAGTTCTGCAATATGTTTCTTGAATGTGAGTAAACTAGTGGTACTTACGCAAGCAGGTGATGGTAGTGGAGGAGATGCGCAAGTTGACGTATATGAACAAGGTTTTGATGGCAATGATGGACAGGATGGAGGTGGACACACTGGTTTCGGACAGACAGGTGGTGGTGGCGGAGGACAGTGTTTTGGTGGACAAGGAGGTGGAGGTGGACATGGTTTTGGTGGTGATGCAGGTGGGCATGGTGGTGGTGGTGGAGGTGGTGGACAAGGGATTGGTGGTGGACATGGCATTGGAGGTGGTGGAGGTGGGCAAGGTTTTGGTGGTGGTGGAGGTGGACAAGGCACTGGTGGTGGAGGTTTTGGACATGGAGGAGGAAGTGGAGCAGGAGGACAATATTGTGGAGGACAGGGAGGTGGAGGTCTTGGAGGTGGACAGGGCTTTGGTGGTGGTGGAGGTGGACAAGGTACTGGTGGTGGTGGCGGCGGACATGGAGGCGGTTTAGGACATGGAATTGGAGGTGGCGGTGGTGGACATGGAGGAGGTGGTGGTGGAGGAGGACAGGGAGGAGGTGGAGGACAAAGAGGTGGAGATGGAGGAGGTGGAGGTGGAGGTGGAGGTGGAGGTGGAAATGGAGGAGGCATAGGAGGTGGAGATGGTCGTGGTTGATATGGTTTACGTGGCCGTGGCCATGGTTGTGGTGGTTGATATGATGGTCGTTGATAACCACCACCTCCACCAGCAAATACGTTATTAACAATACTACATGACAAGATAACAGCTAACGACCAAAAATATAAGATCATCCTGAAATTACAAATTATAGCACTTACCTTTATGATATTGACAAAGCTATATATCTAAACAGCTAAAAATAGCCTGTCACATTTCGATTAAAATCACATAAACACATATCACATTTAATAATTCAACTAAACTGCTCCATTTCATCATTTTCTATTAAATAAAATAAAGAAAGGAAAAAACGAAAGGCGCTATTTGGTTACGATCAAACAAACAATTTAACAAATTCATTCGTTTATCGTAACTTTTTCTTCTCTCCTACTACTTCTAAAGAATTCATACTTTAAACTCATTTAAAGGCCATAAATAAAATGACAGTACGAAGTGACTAACAGTAATTTCTTCTGCAACTTTCAAGAAAAATATCTGTAAAAAAGAAAAATGTAAGAAAAAAAAAAGAAAAGGTAATAATTGAATGAAATGCAAATACAAACTGTATTTGAAGCCCATTACAGCAAGCAACAAAAAGAGAAAATAATTGCGGTAATCGGTTAGTTCCAGCATTACGTTCAACCAAAAAATAATATTAATAATTTAAAAATAAAATAACTGAATAATGTTGATCTTTTATAAATTTTCAAATGATTATAAATGTATAACAATTTAAAAAGATCGTATTTTAATTATATCGCAAATTTCAAATATCTAAATTAAAATTTTTCTCCACATAATAAGAATTAAATTATTATTTCTGCATGCTGGTTCAATAAATGAATTGCAAAAATTTCAAAAGTAAAATTTGATTTCAAATTAGTATCAATATTTTACAATTAAAATATATTGGAGTATAGTTATATTACAAATTTCAAATAGTAATTAAGTCAAAATCATTTCAGCAGTGCAACGAAAAATTACATTACTTTTGTGCCATACTTTTAATTTAATTTCAAAGCATTCTCACAGTTTTATCAATATCCAAAGAATATAATCAGAAAGCCTTGTGACATGAATCGTTTTCAAATTGAATGAATAAAATTTTAAAGTTTGAATCACCTAATGCAGTAATACACTTATGATATGACTTGAAATTTTCAAGAAAACACCAATTATTTGTATCATATTATCGTCGGACATAAACATAAATACAAATATGGAAGTTTATTTTTAGTTTGTTAAATTCAATTGCAAAATACTACAAAAAAGTTATTTTTAAATTGTTGGTCAATTAATTAAAATGTCAGTACTATTCAATGCCAATGCTATTGGTATCATTTCTGGAAAAAATGCCTATATGATAACAAGCTCTTGTGAAAAATTAAATGCCAAATACATTGTATCATTATTGTTGGCTTTAACAAATTCAATTACCATTTTATCCTAAATTATCACTAATCAGTTAAATACTCCTACTTATTGCTTCTACCACTGCAGCATATATTGCTTTTTGCCACCGCTATTGAAAATTTCCTTATCATTCTCGTTGAAACTGTTCCTGCTACAAGATCCTATATATCATATAATAATTTATTCTATAATTATTGTTATCATTATTGCTATTGTTATTATATATTAAAACTATTGTTATTATTATTACTCATTATTATGACATTAGTTTTTGATTTAATTGACGAGTCTGAGCTTTATTAGTCAATTAATAGGAAATCTTCAATTATAGATATACATATTTTACGAAGTACTGGTGAGATTTCTTGTAACTGTTGGACTGGTTTTATTTTATTGGATATATTTCCTGGAAATACTAATTTCTAAACTGTTGCGAAAATTATTGTATGATATTGCATTTTGGACTTGAACAAATTTAGGTAAATACGGCACTTCAAATGTGTGCAATCGCTGGAAGCCTAGCAGCCCCTTTATTAGGCTTTACAAGTCATCCCTTTCTAACTTATATTTAGTAAGTCGAGTTTATCATTCACTAATGAATATTTCTAAAAAAAATTTTTCCCAAAGAAAATTTCGTAATTACTTTTGTCTGTTACTTTCATTTATCTATTACTTATATGAGGTAATGAAATATTTTTTAGTTGTGCTACTGCAGCAACAACAATGTATTCAGGATTTCAATACGCACGACTGACCAGGATGAAGCCGATAAAGAAAGGATAGTCGCAGAATTTTTGGATATCTTCAATTTTTAGGTTTTCCTTCTTTTAAGCTGATAATCACCACCGAAGTTTGAACAGCTAATACTGCCTGAGGAGTTGAGTATATTAACAATTTTTTTAATTTTTCTTGTTGACATGCAGATTATTATCAAATTTTGTTTACTTGAAAACGTTTGTTGTTTTGTATTAATTTTTCATGCAATTTCCTTGCATGCTTCGCTTCTTTTCCGTTGAAGAAACTTATATGTAATAACTGGCGGTAATTTGTAATTTATGACATGTTTGGCGATTTCTGTTATTGATTGCTCACTTCATGTTTTCTATTAATGTCAACTTCTCTACAAGAAATAAATAAAGTCTGTTGGAAGTTTACAGAGTAAATTATATGAAAATTTCCTGACATTTTAATTTCGTAGACGTTTTGGGATCATTCTGCTTCAGAACTTCCGTCCTTATGCGGATGAATTCTGCGATTTAAAGTAGTATGAAAATATCAAGGTGAAGGAAATAAGGTGATTAATTTTTTAGGCGTTAAAAATGAGATTAGGAGCTTTTCTTACAATCCTTTATTTTTAATGAAACTTAGAAATATGAAATTTGAAAGCATGTGCTGAAATTTGAATATATAGGACATAATTTTTTATGTGATCATACGTCTGTATTGGAATGAATTTCAAGCAAATTAAATAAGTATTTTCAAAGCAAAAAACGTGACATACCGACGTGTTGCATTCAGTACAACTGCTATTTTTTTCCCATAAGCGTTCGCACGGCTGAAATAGACGAGCTGAACAGGTCATTTGAGAATCTATTTAATATCTTGAGTTGCTTCTAATAATTGTAAAGAAACAAACAAATCACCCAAGCAATTATAATTTCTAACAATTAAACCAATCGTATATTTTAAGTTTCAAAAACTGATATATTAATTCTCGCGTGGGAGCACTACCTTCCAGAGCTTGTCATTTCATTATTTGCTTTATAATGTTTGAATTGAAAAAGAATCAGTTCTGGACTATTTTTCTGACTGAGATAAGCATTTAGGCAACACAATGTCTTATAATGACTTCAGATTTCATTTAATTTTTTCCTTTCAAATCAAGTTTTGGAAACAAATTCTGCTGAAATATAAATGGTTCATTAATTAAGCACTAATTGATGACAATTAATATATAAAAATTCTTTACTGCTCCTCCTTTATTTTCCAAATTCTCTAATTGCCTCACTACACATTTAATAAATCGATAACAGTTATACAAGATGTAATTTCGGAAATCATAAAACGAGATAAAATAGTTATCACATAAAAATTTTTGACGATTGAAAAGATTTTAAGCTACATAACAAACTGAATTTCATGCTACATCGATATTACAATTTTTTTCAGGATTTTTAGGAATATTCAAGACGTTCTGTTATTAAGCTTTATATTTTCTTTTTTCCTGAATCTTATATTAAAAGATTATAATTATTGATTAAAACATTAGACACAATGATTTTTGGCTGAGATGAAATGCAATGAAAAATGAACTTCGAAACAATTTCATTACAGAGGGAACGAAAATGCTCATTGTTGAAATAGAACAAATGAATAATTGACGCTAATGATGTGAATCTTTGAAGTAATTGTTGTCCCAATTAAGATGAAAACGTGTTCTATTAAACCAATCCAGTTCTATTGTTGATCATTCTCCTATATCGTAATTTTATTCTATGTCGTAACCTTGACTTTGTTCATAGCACAATTGTGTAAATAATTTTTGAATTAAAAAAATTTTCTTTTCTAAAAAAAGATCATCGTTTGTTACGTATCTTTACAACACATTAATTTTCAAATGAAAATGTTCATGGTCATTTCCTACAAATTACCAATTTATTGCTTTATAATCAAATACTTAGACCTGTGAAAATTAATTATTGCTTGCTGATGTACTAATCTGATATAGAATAAGAACAAATTGTCAAAACTTTCAACACAGTAATTAAGGACGGTACTATCTTAGAAATAAAAAAGGTACGATCTATTACTTTGCATAATATTTGTCTTTTACCTTTATAATATTTAAAAAT